ACATAAACTCAAGATTGTGCTTGATTATCAAATAATCAAATCAGTTTGATAATCAATCATATTTTCATGCCTCTGCACAGGCGTCAACCAAGGCTGCAGGCACTATGTTTTCGGATTGTCCGTCCATCCATCTGTCCCATACTTGTGAAGGGGTATGTCAAGAACGCCTTGGGGGAATTCCTTCAAATCTGGCACAAACGTCCACTTAAACTCCATGATGTAGTGACTAGATTTTGGTGGTCATATGCCAAAGGTCAAGGTCACTGTGACCTTGTCTGACTCACTCATGTTAAAGGGATATCTCAAGAGTACCTTTAGGGAATACTTTCAAATTTGGCACAAACGTTAAATTGGCTTTAACACTAAGCTGATTCGATTTTGGTGGTCAAATGTCAAAGTCACTGTGACCTTGCATCCATCTCATTCTCGTGAATGCAATATCTCAAGAACACATTGAGGGAATTTCGTCAGATTTGGCAGAAATGTACACTTGGACGGAAGAATTAACTGATTAGATTTTGGCGGTCAAAGGTCAGGGTCAGTGTGACCTCACAAAACATTTTTGGCCACAACTCAAAAATTCTTACGGTAATCCAAAACTTTTATATTTTTTTATATTTTTATTGTAATGTTTCTATTCTATAATAAGGTTTCTCAATGATTGCATTTCTTGCTTTTAATTTCCTTTTAATATGTTTACTGTGTGCACCAACCACTAAGGCAAATTCCTTGTGTGTGAAAACCTACTTGGTAGTGAACCTTATTCTGATTCTGAAGTCCAGAAGAGGAGTCTGATTTTGGCCGCTGATGGGGGCCACTGCATGAGACAGCAGGTCCTTGCCTAAGGGTTATGGAAGTGGGGCTTGGACCCTGTCTGTCCTAAGCTGCTTCTCTCCTGACTGCACTGATGCCAGGCAGATTAGCTTGGTGTTGATTTGAATGGCAGAAATGTGAGATGTGACAGTGCTGTTTAGTGGCAGCCATTAACATCACATTGACTTTAATCTCTGATCTCAACTCTCAACAGAGGGGAGGTGGAGGGAGACTGGTGGGGCAACACCTGTGGTGACCTTGCTAGCCTTATCAGTCTTGTCAGCTCTGGCAGGAGAGAGCTGTTCTCTCTTTTTGTCATTTTCATTATCAGCAAGGGTTTTTTACAGAATGTGCACGGTTGGCGATGACAGCAGTGACCTGGACCAGTGACCTACGCAAACCATCATTTTAAACATTATTAGCCCCCACATGTAGAATAATTTTGTTAAATTTGGGGGTGTTAATTCATCTTTTGGTTGAGGAGATTTCTCTTTTATGTCACAGACCGCAACACAGAGAGAGCAGCATGGTTTGATTGTGGTACTGCTTATGTTTCTGATAGCAGCGTCTCCCACAGCTAAAATTACAGGTTAAATTGTCTATTTGGATGAGTTTTCCCCATGAGACTGTTTTTTGCCTTTTTCTGTTGGCTGGCACTTTATATAACACTCCATATCCAAACTCCACTTGTGTCTCATTGAAATTTATTATTGGTTCAAACCTGTTTTCCACTTGTAACGTCAGGGTCGAATGGTGTTGTGAGCCAGATGTCCATGGTCAAAGTTGGTTGAGCTGAATCCATTCATTTGGCCCTTTGTGGTTGTACAGTTTTGCACTTATCTTTAGATTTAGCAGCCAAATTATCCCAGCAGGTAGAAATTCCACTGACAGAGCATGACTTCACTGCTTTTGTTTCAGTGAGTCTTGAGGAAAATTATAGTGGAAGTGCATTTAGGATGTGTCATAATCCACTTTATTAACAAAACGGTGCATAATCGGGCTCAGAATAAAGGAAAAAGGAGTAAAATCACTGTATTCAGTCCTTTAACTAATCATAGGTGTGTTTGGAGCGCCATCTCCCATTCTTTTTAAAAGCCAGGTGCATCTGCACATGGCACACTGCTATTTACATGGCGCATCTGGCAAATCGGAGAGGTGAGCGGTTTTCTGGAGCAGTGATGTTACTACAGCAAATATCATGGGACATTTAAGCAGCAAAACTATAAACTGTAGTTATAAACCTGACAGAGGAAACAGAACTAAACTTTTAGCTTCTGAAATCATCAATAAAGTTATCCTGATTTTTTTGCATAAATGTTCACAACGTCTCTCTTAACAGGGAATTGGACAGTAGCTCTGCTCTGATCTCTGCTACATTCAGATTTTACAGAATGTCGTTTATATTTTCCTCATTAATTATGTATTTTTTCAACAACCCTGCAATGACTCCTCACATCCCTGTGTGTGTTAAAGGCAGAGAGTACATGCGTCATGAACCCACCTATGTAGGTGCATCTTACTATCTGAATAATACACACTCTAAGTAGAGAGAAAATACTGCGCTATTCTGACTTCACGTTTTTGTTCGTCAGTGGCACATTGGCTTTCTGCAGCCTCAGAATAGCGATGCGCCAACAATCTGCCTGACAACAATTTATTTTAATGTCCATGGGTGCACAGATTAGCCAAAATACTTTGGCTACTTGCACAACATGGGCACCCCCGTACATGGGGGTCGGAGCCTGTCCCAGACCCTGGACAGATCACCAGACTATCACAGGTCTGAGACAGAGAGAAAGAAAACCACACATGCTCACTTTCACACATACTGGCAATTTAAAGTCACCAATAAACCTAGATGTCTTTGGACTGTTGGAGAAACCAGGAAAACCAGGAACAAACCCACAATGACATGGGCAGAGACTGAAATGCCACACAGAAGGGCCCCAGCTGGCCAGCATGTTGGCCTGCAGTGTGGGCGCTGGCCGTGAAAATGACAACTGTGTTGGTCTAAAACAAACAATGACAGTTGTAAGGTGACGTGGTAAGATAGGCCCCTTAGTGTCATTTAGAGACAAGTATCCACTTAAATTAGTCAAAATGAATTCTAATGAATTCTTCAGTTGAATATCTTTCTCTCAAGTACACCAATCTTTCGATTTTGATATGCAGAGTGGCGTAATACAGTCCAGGAGTCTCATTTATGAAACAGTGCGTAGGATGTAAACTAAAAAGCCAAAAATGGCCTCCACCTCCCCATCTGCATCGCCAATTTCCCATCTCCAGAATGTTCATGAGCATGGGTCAAATTTCCTCCCATCAAGTCTGGGTTTTTATGGATAACTTTTGCATGGGAATTGGCCAACGTGTCTTTCAGGCCTTGTTTTGTGCATACACAGTGCTCAAAAATGAGTCCCTTGGGCACAATTTTGTGTTTAGGGTTAGTGAGTTACTGTTTGGGTCACATGAATGTTGTGAGTAGCAGAAGACAGAAGTAGATCGTCGCAACCAACCCATACTTGTCATAAATTATCTTCCCAATGATTCAGTTGTTCCAGGAAACCTCTGTTATTCATTTTATGACAAGGAAAAAGAACAAATATAGCAGAAATAGCAAGTAAGCAAAGAGATGGAGCAACAGAACACAACAAAGATTTTTGAAAACAGGCGTAATGGTACGAATCGGTGATAAAATTAAAATAATTCTCTCTTCACATGGCAGTGTATTTGATGGCCTCACAGACCACCATCACCGACAGCGCTGCCTGTATTAAAAGGTACACTATTACGACCTCCTTTGTTTGTTATCGTCAGAAACTTTTCACTCTGCCCTCTAGTGCCATCTAGTGGATGTTGCTATGCCAACATAAAGGATACATGGAAGTAAGTTGAAATCAGCTATCTATTTTTGTACCTAAAGGGAGCATACATGAGCCTTGAGTGTAGAGTAATTTTAAGGGTAATAGTAGTAGTAAAAAATTATCATTATCATTAATCCAACTATAATTCTCCACCTCTGGTATAAATAAAAACAGTAAAAACAAACCACAAATGAGCCTCAATGAAAAGACACACATCCAGGGCTTGTTTTCAAATCACACATTATATTTTAATGGAAATCTTACCATGAAACCCTGGCACTGCTCTCAGCGCTGAAGAAAAAGAGCCAGAATGTTCTTAGACCAACGTTATTTTATCATGCATCAGCCTGACATGACCTTTACTAAAATTTTAATCAAAGAGTCTTTGTTTTCCTGCTCCCCTTTGTTTCCTCTGACCTTGTTCTTGCATTCCTGGTTGTTAAACACACTTTTGTGTAAAAAAAAAAAAAGCTGTTTCTCACCAGTGTGATGCAAAAATGCAGTCAGGAATACAGATGACACCACCAGGTCCGATGCAAATAGCCTGCACATTTCGTGAATGAGGTCTAACGAGTATCCACTTCACGCAACAAAACCATAACCAGACAGAGAATGTCTGAGGGGCCAATGTTAAGACACTATAGCAAAACAATCAGTAGTGATGGCCAAATGAAGCTTCATTTGGCCATTTTGCATTGCCATCCCTTGAGCCTTCATTACACCAAGAGCGCCATCTAGTGGGTTCAGCAAATACAGCTGGTGGTTCATGAAGCTTCATTTGGCCATCACTACCAATCGGACCCCAAAGTCGATGCTAACGGCAGCTGCCACTTGTTACATGTTCAACTTACAATGTAAGCAACTGCTCGGCGATCTCAAGCCATAAAATTGACTTGTATTTGGTTGCTGAGGTAGTTGTTGCCATGTTTGTTGTGTATAATTGGGTGTTGAGAAACCAAATATGACAGGATGTTCCTCTGTTTTGGCAGCTAGCTAGCTTTGACCTGAAGGGATGACGTCAGTTGGAACAAAGGATTTCATTCGTCAAGCGGAAATCTGTTGAAATTAAGGTCCATCCGAATACTTTTACCCGCATGAATGTTCTGCAGAGGTGTGCAAGCAATCATTTATACATTTTTCAACAAATTTTCAACATGCTTGGTGTCAAACAGCCTGAAATTGATGAAGGACAGTCTGTGTAACTGGTGAACCACATAGGTTCAACAGTTGGTCTTCACTGTCAGATTACAGCTGTCTTACATAACAAGGAAATACTCTGCTGCATGCCATATTTCAAAATATGTTCTTGTTTTGGTGATCTTTTAGGGACAGTTCCTCGGATCAGACCTCCAACCAGGTATTTGTTTACCCTGTGGACCCTTCCTCTCCGTCACCTTCATCCTCTGTGCCCAGGTAAGACCACACACTGAACACAAACATACTGCAGAGAGTTTTGTCTCACTTTTATAAAGCTATACACAGAAGAATAATGTTCAGTTGTTTCAGTCAAGAGTGGATGTCAAGTTGTATTATGACATCCATACAGCTGGGACTGTGGGAAGGGCTTGGCTCACTCTGATTGGCCGAGCAAGTAGATGCAAATTTCATTACGCCACTTCACAGTTTGAGTCGTCGAGCCTAGAGAGCCCATTAGACGGCAAAGCCTGCATGAAGTAGAACTGCATAATTCTCAAGTGTGTGTGTGTTTGTGTTTGTGAGCGAGTGCGCATAAGTGCATATTTGTGTGTGGGCGTATAAATACATGAATAATATTTTTCTATCTGCATCTTTCCACAGTTTATTTTCCTTCGAGAAGTAGCCAAGTGTTACTATAGTATTTGCTATGGCTGCGCGTGTGTGTGTTCTGCGTGTGTGTGTGTGTGGACAACACATTTCCCTGCTTGCCCTGCCTCCGTATGAAATCCTTTTAACCATATTTACACACTCACTCACACAGATTAAATTCTCACCTACAGGAACCTGTTAGAGCGGTCGTCTGTTGATGCTCTGTAAATGCTTCCTCTCTTTCAAGGCAGAGAAGACAGAGTCAGTGAGAGAGGAGAGGCTGAAGAGTTGCTCATGTTTTTCTGTTTGCTGATTTTTAGGATAATTCTGGTGCTTCTCTGTCCTCCAGGGACCCTGTGTCCTCATATGAGGACATTACATTTTGGGTTGGCTGCACCTTATACTTCATTCTGCTTAAGAGTTGTATTCACTGTTGTCACTTTAAGAACTCAAGATGCTGATTGACCAATCTGTCTGACGGACCCGAATTCAGCTTCAGTAGCTAAATGACGGATAGAGAAACTGGGCTTTATTTTTGTGCAGGGGAATTTAAGGCTGTGTTTGTGCGGAGCACCGTAACATTTTTGTATGAAGTGGTGCTTCATTTTCCACCAGCTCAGATCACAGTTTATTTCCTACTTTTATCAACAGCACAACCTTGAGTGTGATTGTGCTTTTATACAGCAGCTGCAGAAGCACCATTTGTTAGTTAACAGTAGTAGGTGGTCGCATTTTAGCCGTTTTGAAGCATTTTTCTGTTGTTATAGCGCCACCCAGTTGCCAATTAGAGTTAAATTTCTCCAGTCACCTTGAGGCGTCCTGTTCTACATATCTACCAAGTTTAGTAAGAATCGATATGGCGGTTAGGCCTAGATAAGAAATGAGCTCTCTAGCGCCCCCATTTTGTTTGATGGGGTCAATAATGGAGGGGTCCCCTCAGATTATGTGTGGTCATATGCCTACAAAGTTGCGTGGTGATGGGTGAAACCCTTGAGATGTTATACACCTTTATGTGATGAGCCACGCCCTCCGCAATATTCATTGCCTTATAGAAGCTCAGTTTTAGTAAGTTTTCCAACTTTTGCCAAGAGGGAACTTTAGATATTGGTCCCTAGATTATGTTCACCCAGTTTCATGCAGATCGCTCAAACTTCCTAGGAAGAGATCCATTTGAAGTGTTTTGCAAAAAATTCAAAATGGCGGAAAATCTATATAAGCGGAAGTTATGGGTTCTTGAGGCAAATGTGTTCCTCATGAGGAGAGGCATCTCTGTGCAAAGTTTCATGTCTCTACGACATACGGGACATGAGATATGCGATTTGATGAGTCAACAGCTTGAACAACATTGGCTGATGTTCTATAAGAACACCTGGAGTTTTGCAGTGAAGCATCCAGACTTCTTTTATACCCTTCGTACTCTTCTGACAACCATTCATAGTTGAACTCAGGTGTTATCTGTGGTACAACTGATGTTGCCCTCTGTAACACCAGCACTTATGGAATGCTTCTTGTCCAATTAACCTACGTCTTTAACTGCCTGGGAAATGCAAGGTCAGGCGCAGAGTGCTACTCTTTCTTGTGCTTTTCTTCAACCAGCTTTTAAGAGCGTGGTGGCAGGTTGCATCTGAGGTTGCAAAGCGCCATATCACTGTCTATTTATCTGAAGTCCTGAGTGCAGAGCTGATCTTCTTCCAGGTGCTGTTTGTGTGTACGAGGGTCAGATGTAAAGCTCTGGCAGCCCTGCACTAAAATGCTCAACTTCTTCTCCATATTCATCACAGACTGATATTTATGGAAGAAGGGAAAGATATTTGTCGACTGTGATTGGTTGTTCAGTGCATGTTGCTATGTTCCAAAGGTTGGATTCTGTTTATCTCAGGGTGCGGTCATCACGCATGGAAAAATAGGCACTCAAGAACGCGTGAGCACCACAAGGGCGTTATTCTGGCGTTTGAGTGCAACTGCAATGCATCTACATTGAAAACAATGAATTCGAGGGTGCAAAAAAACTGTACATCCATACATAATTAGGCCTCGATAAAATCGTGGTTTGGCTATCACTAGGTAGAACTGTGAAAATGTTATTATGGATAAGTTGACCCTTTAAAACCTGAGCAATTTGGCTTGGTGTCTTGAGCACCAAAAATACCACCCAAAAATTAGCAAGAAATTAGTGAAAAAAAGAAAATTAAAAACGAAAGAAATTAAAAAAATTAATAGATTTAAAAATAAGAAAATTGGTTAAAAAAAACCCAAAAAAACCAACAACAACAAAGGACGGAACAAACAAATGGCCTGGGAAATTAGCTTAAAGATTCTAATAATTCTGTAACATTATTTTAAATAGATAATAATTTGTTTTTCCCTAGCTTTTTTAAAATAATTTCCAAAATATATTAATTTTGTGCAATTTGTGGAACGTTTCATACCACTTTGCTTGTTCCCTTTATCTTCAGGTTTTTCAAAGAAATTGCACCAACGTGCTCGGGAAAATTAAAAACTAAAGAAATTTAAAAAATTAATAGATTAAAAAAATAAGAATATTGATTAAAAAAAACAACAACAACAAAAGATGGAACAAACAAATGACCTGGGAAATGAGCTTAAAAATTATAATAATTCTGTAACATTATTTTAAATACATTATAATTAGTTTTTCCATAGCTTTTTTCCCATAGATTTCGGAAAATAATTTCCAAAATCTATTAATTTTGTGCAATTTGTGGAACATTTCATACCAAGTTGCTCATTGCCTATTTCCCCATGTTTTTGAAAGAAATTACATGCTCAGAGCTCAAGGGTTTAAATACTTCCGGAAGGCGTCTGAAAGCAGCACAAGAAAAGTGACGTTGCTCCAGGTTTCAGAGAGTTAAACGAACTAATCTTTCTCGCAGTGAGAGCAGTTATCATTGTGAGCATGTTAACATAAATCTGACAGATACGAGTACTTCAGAGTGCTTCAGTTAACAGGATAATCTCACTGTCTCTCTTTTCCTGATCACATCATGCAGCATGTTTACTCATTAGCATCAGTGCTCTTTTGTACCATTTTAGTAATGAGTGGTAGTTATTAGTACAAACACAAGTGGGCACGCTGCACTGACAGCGTCGCTAAAGTTAAATGACCCTTGCTAACAGCTCAGAGAGTACAAGGCCGTGTGGCTTACAGCCTGGAACTGTATTTACTTTTCATGCCATCTGAGTTTAATTATCTGATGTCCCCTAGCCATGAACACTTTGATCATCAGTTATTAAAACAACAATGCAGACAACGTGACAATGGGGTAAAATAAACACTTACAGGATCATAATATTTTTCCTGGCATTTGCTCCGTGGATACAAAATGTAAAATGTGAGCACATATAGATTAGCATACAGAATAGAATAGAGGGAACAAATAAAGTAACAGGTACAATGTGAGTATAGGCAGAGCAACGCAACCTGCTGATCCTCACAACACTTCCCTTTGGCTACGTGTGTGTAAGCACGCACGTGTGTGTGTGCATGTGTGTGTTGGCGGGCTGATTTGCAATGCTGAGTGCACTGAGTGGGAGGATGAGGAGGAGAGATGAGACCGAGAGGCAGGGGCAGAGTGAGGGAGAGATGGGTTTAGGAGAAAGATAGAGTCAGAAAAACATTGGATGGAGAGAGAAATGCATGTCAGAGCACTCGAGAGTCACACCAATCTACTGTACTTAGACACACACACACACACACACACACGCTCTCGCACAGTGTAGCAGTTTGCCCACGCAGGGCCAGAGGTGAACGTTATTCCTCCCACTATAATTACCTTTCTCTCTTGTGCTCTCTATCCCTCTGTCTCTCTGACAAACACACTGGAAGACACCTACACACCAAACATTTTGTTTTTTTTTTCTCCAAATGATTTTTGAGCTGATAGCTTCACAAACCATCAGTTGACACGAAAGCACCAGGTGTAAATCTGTTTAAGCAGAAGCAGTCAAGCTCTGCGGTCAGGGAATTTCTGAAATATTAGACGGGAATGTGTCGTGAAAGAAAACTTGAGATGTGACAAATAAATCTAAACGTAGACGTGCTTGTATTCTCGCCACCACAGGGCTGCAGGCAACATAGAAGTCTTAAAATGCCGTGTTGTTGTGTTATTGGGAGCCAGAATAGAAGGAGTCATGGCTCAAGACTTAAATTGTATCGCATGCCCCAGGCTATACTGTGCTTCTGGAAAAGAAAGAGAAGAGAGCCAGCTTTCCAAAGAGGTTGCTTGTCAGGTTGTTGATGATGGCGAGGACGTACAGGGTGTTCTCATCCATCCATCCATCCGTTTTCATCCGCTTATCCGAGGCCGGGTCGCCGGGGCAGCAAGCCGAGCAAAGCACCCCATATGTCCCTCTCCCCAGCAACGCTTTCCAGCTCCTCCTGGAGGACCCCAAGGTGTTCCCAGGCCAGATGAGATATGTAATCCCTCCAGTGTGTTCTGGGTCTGCCCCGGGGCCTCCTACCAGTGGGACATACCAAGAACACCTCCAACAGGAGGCGCCCAGGAGGCATCTTGATCAGATGCCCAAACCACCTCAACTGACTCCAGTGGCCCCTACTTTTGAGCTAGTGCAGAGGTATCTTCTGAAACTAGTCAGCCTTAGGCATCAGTTGGTCCCAACCAGAGGCAGGACAAAGTCATTGTTTTGCAAGTCATAAGCAACTCTCAAGTCTTTGCACTCAAGTCCTTAGTTAAGTCCCAAGGCAAGATTGACAAGTTACGAGTCAAGTTCCAAGTCCTTAACTTTTGATTGAGTCCTAAACAAGTCAAAACGTGCTCCTCAACGAATTAAATTCCATATTGAATTAACAAAAGTCATGAATGCTTTTCGACAATATGTACTAATGTATTAAAAAAAGTTTGTTGGAATTTGTTGCACCTCTGTCTGTAGTTTTCACCCTGCACATTTTACATACGGCAATCCTTTATTTTTTGGTTGACTACCCATATTTTTTGTACATTGAGATTATCTTTGGTATCATTTTTTCTAACTGGCGCTCAGTAGCCTAACGTTTATTCTTCATGATTCTCTCTTGCACCTTAATTGGATTCTGTCAGATTGGTTCAAACAAAATGGATCTGGAGAACTAAGTGTAGACTTGTTGGGAATGAATGGTGTTAGTGTTAGTTGCTTCTGGAAATGAAAGGAATTGAACTGATCCGTGACACGCTTCTTAAGTAACAATCTTTTGGCTTGTTGGAATGTATCAAGTATTTTTTAAATCAAGAGGTTCAAATCCAAGTGAACTCACAAATCATCGTTGTTAAGGCCCAAGTCAAGTTGGAAGTCTGTCATGATTTTGTCAAGTCAAGTCCAAGTCATCAAATATGTCTGGCTCAAGTCCAAGTCATGTGACTCGAGTCCACACCTCTGGTGCCAACCATGTTGGCAGAATTTTGGTAAGGGAACAACTGGGATGGCCTTTTTCAAAAGGTCCCTTGAGCTCTCACCTCAAGATATCTGAATGAAAATAGGTACAATTGGTACCCAGAGTCTTCCCCAAACTTGAGAAGGCTTGTGCACATTAAATGTTTTGTTCCTATATATATGTTTTTTTTAAGGAAAAGGATAACCAGCCTATTCAAAGAACAATGAATTGCAGAACATGTACAGATAAGACACATTAAAACAGGATTGTTGTACAAAGTATATCAATATGCCATTCCTTGACTCTTATATTGACAAAGGCAGGTTTTCAAGTAGCTTAAGTATGACAACAGCATAGTTGAGTTCCTGAAATTCATCTATGGCTTTTGGGTTGTTGTGCCTCCCCGAGATTTTAGTGGCCCCATCTAGCCACCTTTGCTCTGCTACTGATCTATGCCCTCTGCATCCCATTTGTCTTTCTAGGTGTTGCAGTTTTGAGACTTGTGCGACTCCTTCCGTGTTCCTTTTAGTAACGTCTCAGCAGTTTCCTCATGTATTAGAATTTCTAAGAGAATCTCACATACCCTCTGCTTCCTCTTGGTTCGCCCTGAGCGTGGCCTACTTTAACAGCCATCAGAATGCTTTCCTTTTTCTTCTCCTTTCTACCAGTGGCATTATCTCACTCATGCTCATTATCTCAGTGCTCAACTCTTCAACTCTATCTTGCAAGGATCTATTCTTACAAGTAAAGAGAACGCAGTGTTGAGGTTACAAAAAGGTTCATAGTTTTGACATTAAAGGCAGGCGGTCATGACTAGCTCACACATGCCTCCAGTATGTTCTCTTGAAGATCGTGACAGGGATTTCAAAGTAAGATTCTTATATCTGGGAATATATATAGTAAGAACATACTGTACGAAAAAGTTCTCCTCCATACATTTCCTGGGAAGCTGAAGACTTCACTGAATATCTGACCTTACAACAGAAAACATTCAGTCTGGTGTTTGTTTAGTGACTTTGCTTCCTGTGTCTTTCTGTAGTTCTTCTCAGAGGCAGCGAGTGAACAGTGACAGCTCTGCTAGTGACGCTTTAGCACATGACGCAGCACCTGTGACCAGCAAACTCATCAGGTAAGAATACCCTGAGACAGACGCACCCTGTACTGTGTTTTAATGTGCTATCGTAATGGGTTTAAGCTACATAAGTAAGATGAAAGAACAAGACATGCACTAACAAAGGACATGCAAAGGCACGTGGACAGAGTATATTTAAAAAGATCCATAGTCCATGGTTTAAAGTGTGTTTCCCATTCCCTTTAAAAGCCAGGTGTCCCTGCACCTGACACACTGCAATTTACATGGCAGAGTTCGCAAATTAGAGAAGCGAGTATTGCAAGAAGAGTCATAATGTCACTGCAGCAAATATCGCAAACATTTAATCAGCAAAGCTAAAAATTGTAGCTATAAACATTACAGAGGACACAACAAAATTAGCTTCTGAAATAATCAATGAAGTCCTGCTACTTCTTACATTTCTAACCCTAACCTGTACAGCAGCTCTGCTCTGATCTCTGCTACGTTCACATTTTATTTTCAAGAATGTCGTAAATATTCTCCTCACTTATGATGTATTATGTATACACATTGTGAACCTGGCTATGTGCATGTAGGTTACTATCTGAATAGTGTGCTGTTAAAGTTATTAATCACTATTAATAATTATGTTAAATAATGTGACTTAATTTACATTAAAACACCTTGTGGGGCACCATTCCCGAAAAGGGAAAAATGATAGGCAGTTAATGAAATCAGTTTCATAAAATACTATCAATTTGTTACTCTGATTAATGGTTAAATTAATAACTATAACCAAAATTACTATATTATTAGTATAGGCTGAAGGATTTTGGAGTTCTTGACGTAGCAGAGGAACAGAGGTTGACTATTCCTTCACTCTTGTACAATATTAAACAGATAGTAGGTATGATTCCAAAAGTATTTATTCACTAGTCTATACCCTTTGGTAGCTTTGTCACCTTCTACCTATGCCAATCCTCAATGCCTATGTGCAGTTTCACATAGATTGACCACGTCAGTGAGTAGAAAAACGTGGGACTGACAGAATGACACACTGACAGTTTCCGTGATTATGTACAGCATACCATACCATGACTTAGTCATACCAAACATTAGATAAAAACCCCCAAAACATTGGTCCACAGGGGGAGCCACAGCGATCAGTCGCATTTTAGCCATTTTTAAGCATTTTTCTGTTGTTATAGCGCCACCCAGTTGCCAATTAGAGTTAAATTTCTCCAGTCACCTTGAGGCGTCCTGTTCTACATATCTACCAAGTTTAGTAAAAATCCATATGGCGGTTAGGCCTAGATAAAAAATGAGCTCTCTAGCGCCCCCATTTTGTTTGATGGGGTCAATAATGGAGGGGTCCCCTCAGATTATGTGTGGTCATATGCCTACAAAGTTGCGTGGTGATGGGTGAAACCCTTGAGATGTTATACACCTTTATGTGATGAGCCACGCCCTCCGCAATATTCATTGCCTTATAGAAGCTCAGTTTTAGTAAGTTTTCCAACTTTTGCCAAGAGGGAACTTTAGATATTGGTCCCTAGATTATGTTCACCCAGTTTCATGCAGATCGCTCAAACTTCCTAGGAAGAGATCCATTTGAAGTGTTTTTCAAAAAATTCAAAATGGCGGAAAATCTATATAAGCGGAAGTTATGGGTTCTTGAGGCAAATGTGTTCCTCATGAGGAGAGGCATCTCTGTGCAAAGTTTCATGTCTCTACGACATACGGGGCATGAGATATGCCCATTCAAAGTTTGACATTTCAATGGGTTGCTATAGCGCCCCCCTTTGGCCAATTGATGTAATATTGCTTCATTGGCATCCTCCCATGACCCTCTACCACTGTGCCAAATTTCACATGGATTGACCAAGTCAGTGAGGAGAAAAACGTGGAACAGACAGACAGAGTTTTCGTCATTATATAGCAAGATAAGATAAAGAAAGCAAAGCACAAATTCTAACTCGTCACTATATACAAGCATGGGTGCATATGTGTGTGGTTGTGTGTGTATGTGAGAGACAGACAACAAAGGTGTGGGTGTGAAACAAAGGCCATCTGGCCTACAAACAAAATGGCTGACACCCAGAAACTTTGTCATTTTGCAGGGCGGGATGCATCCATCGTTCCAACACCACAGCTGCTGATTTCAAACCAAAGCTGAGGTGAGTACATTCACAAACACTTATTTGTATTGTTGCTTAAATTAAGAAATTATCATTACATCACAATACAATTATATTTAAAATGTAATTATATTTAAAATTATGATCATAAATAACGTCTCTTTTCTGGGGTGCAAACACCTGTAATATAATATTTCATCACACACAATTTCTACTATAAATACTTAAGAGTGTTCTCAAGACACAAGAAGCAGCTTGAGGTGTGAGCAGGTGTAAAAAAGTTGTGATGTGATTTGGAGGTTTGATGCGTCTCTGCATGTGTGTGTGCTCTACTTAGTGTTCATGCATTAACAACCCCTACGCAGAGTTCTTGTTATATTGTCAGCTTGAGTCAAGTCTCTATGTCACATCCCTCTGCTCATTAAAACATACTGGTACCCATTAAAGCAAAACAGTACTGTGCTCATTAAAACACCACTGCACTGACAAAAGGAGCACATGCAGTTTTCTTTCTGTACCCAGATCAGGCCAGTCTGCTGAGGTTAATGCGTGAGGTCACATCCCATGTCTAGGTAGAAAAAAACAGTGACACTTGATTTGAAAAGGGGTTGCATAACGTTGCCATGACACCATCATAACCATGACATGACACCTGTCATCAGCATGAAGGAGTCTTTATGAATGTTTAAAGAGGAGATGAAACACTGAACAATGTGTCTGTGGTTCCTTTGGTTTTTACCTCAGGCGAGATGTCACACTGCAGTCAAACTGTCATCGAGATTTTCTGGAGGACTAGATTGTGTTTTATGATTTCACCAGCAGGGTGCAGCCATTTTTCAACAAGCTAATTAGTGATGTCACGAGAATGGTTTGTTTCTGCTTAGTGGCGCAAGGTAGTTACAACGGGCCCAGGTGCACGCTATTATGAAGGGTCCTAGAGCACATATGTATCATCTCGTGAATACCATTGATGATCATCTTGTTCCAGTGCATTGTTCTGCTGGGAAACCTTTGGTTCTGGCTTTCATGTGGATACCACCTGACATGATCCACCCACTCAAACACCGTTGCAGACCAAGTACCCCCCTCATGGCAACAGTACTCCCCAATGACAGTGGCCCCCCAGCAGGATAATCCACCATGCCACACTGCACACATAGCTCAGGAATGGACCAAGGAATGTGACAAAGACCTCAAAGTATCAACCTGGCCTCCAAAATTCCCCAGATCCCAATCTGATCGAAACATTTGAGGGACTTGCTGGTACCCCAGAGGTACCCCCGATCCATGGTGCAGCCTCCTTGGACCGGACTTGGCTCTGACTTGTTAAGGCATGAACAAAGGACCTCTGGCACCAGGGCATTAACTTCAGATCTTTTGAGTCCTGTACGATGTGAGGTGGGGTACCAGCATGTCCCACAGATGTTCGATCAGATTGGGATCTGGGGAGTTCGGAGGCCAGGTTGAAGCCTTGAGCTCCTGTCATGTTCCTCGGACCATTCCTGAGCAGTTTTTGTGTTGTGGCATGGCGCATTGTCTACCGGGGAGTGCCGTCACCATGAGGAGGGGTGCTTGGTCTGTGTTATGGCACATAATTAGGAGGCCTAGGTGTATGGTTAGGGGTGGAGTTAGGAAGCAGGGAGAGGCTGATGTTCCACTTGGGGTATTGGGTAACTCCCCTTCCTAGGAGCTCACACACCTGAAAAGGCGGCGGTTGATTGGAGTCGAGGCTGGCTGCTGGAGACGCCGACAGACTGCCACGCCACATTTCTGCAGAAGATTCCGACAGACATTCAGAAATATGGAGACAAAATCCACCGATCTGGGAACGCCACTACACACCTCACCTGATCTGGGGTCGCGTTGAACCCCCCCCTATGAACTAAAATCACAACAACGCTGCTTGTGCTGGCCCAGCCTGGCCGTCGACTGGAGGGGACGCCTGAAGCGTTGGGTCAGGGTGGCCGCCTACTAGGGATGGGTCACGATTTTCGAATTTCGAATAGTCGTTTTATTTTCGAAAAATCGATTTTTTAATGCGACTATTACTATTCGCCGTCTTATTTCCCCCCCTTTATTTGACATGCAATTCAGCTCCTAACCACACGAGGGCAGTCTAGGATTGCTACAGCGGTATGAGATGGGCTACCAGCTAGTTTGATGCTCTTCTACAAACAGGAGAAACATGCAGAGACTACTACTCCGTGAGGAATGTCCGCAGTCATTCGGGCTTTCATAGTCTTCCGCATTGTAGTTTCCTGTAAAAATGTCCGTGCAAAATCCCCCCGATTATTCGAAAAATTGTCGAAATAGTTGCCACGATTTTTGAATAGTGTTTTTGCTTGTGTTGCCCATCCCTACCGCCTACAGTAGCAGTCGGGTCTGATGAAGGGTGAGTAACCCATTTACCCCCTAGACAGCTCAGAGATCTACACACATTAGGAAAGTGAGGCATACGTTCAAGTCCAACTACACACCGCGGGGAAATAACGAAGCTTAGTTAAAGGTTACAGTTACTAGCGTTAGGAGTGTCAGGTAACAAGTCAGGCATAATGTTAGGTGTCTTGTAACAGTCTGCGACGGTGTTTAAGTGGGTAGAGCGTATCAGGTGGTATCCACATGAATGTCAGAACCCAAGGTTTCCCAACAGAACAATGCACTGTAACAAGATGATCAATGTTCACGTCACCTGTCAGTGGTTTTAATGTTTTGGCTGATCGGTGTTGGTCGCTTGTTTGTTAGTAGTTGTTGCCGAGCTAGGCTGTTAAGCTTGTTTGTCCTTTGATGACTCTTTTGTTCTCTGACAATGTGTTTTTTTACAGCCAGTGTATGAGAAGTTTTGAGTAGAGTAGTGCATGAAAGTACAGGAAGTCACATGGCGCCGAATGGTGGGACACATGTTGCATCGTTGGTGGCTGACGTGATGACTTTATTCTCATAGATTTACAGCTTTATTCTTGAGATCTCAAATTCCTTTTCCTTAACAAGGCCCTAATCCTCCTTCATACTTTCTCAATACTCTACCATTTTCAAGAATTGTTGTTCCCATTGGACAATAAGACACAAAAACACAGGAAAACCCTTTGCAGTATTATGACACTAGTCATTAACATTTATAAAGACTGTCATGTTTATGACAGGTATGATGTCAAGGTTATGATGGTGTCATGACTGTGATGCACACCCCTTCAAATAAAGTGTTTAATTTCACGTTCTTCTATATGTATTTTCACTATCTCCACAGCACTGGACAGACACATTCAAGTTAATGTAGTAATAATATAGATTTCTTTAGGACCAGGGTATGAAAACTAACAAAACGTGACAAAATGTAAAGCAAGAAAAGATCATGATCCAAAAGATCTGATATACTTTGTAGAGCTATTTGATACGTCGGGGTCTGGTATGAATATATTTAGTAAAGACAGCGAGGCTTGAATTGTATTCTACATATTAGAGGCAGTTTTCACTCTGACCTGTGCTGGTGTGTGCATGAGCTCCTAACCAAAGTCTTCCACAGAAAGCTGTTCACCAATTTTAATGTCTCATTTGTTTCTGCAAATTCAAAGTACAACACAGACGATCATGTCTATACTTGATTATCAGTAATTAATCTATTTCTTTATTGTATAATTATTATCTTGACAACTCATTCGCTCTTTTATTCAAACCATCAGACACTTTATATATTAAATGTTTCCTACTGTTATTATGTGCAGTATTATATTATAAAATGTACATCTCTCCCCTGACTATTACCTGCCTCATCATTTAAAGGGACAGTTCAGATTTTTTTGGAAGTGGGGTTGTATGAGGTACTTATCCATAGACGGTATATTACATACAGTAGATGTCAGTCAGCATGCCCCCAGTTTGGAGAAACAGGCAGGAGTCTAATATGTAAGCTAAGCAATGTACTGCTGTGGATGGGGTCCAGCAACAAAATGTGTTTTAGCCACCTAAAGAAAGTCCCACCTAAAATAATCAGTATCAGTTTAAGTGTATGCTATATTGCGAGTATTTTGACTAATGTTACTTTGCTGTCAGACTGATTTAATACGGGAAAATGAAGCCTTTTCAAAGCCAGACTCCATTGAGAAAAACAGTGATTTAACATAGCTGAACACAGGAGCTGCTGGTCTATTACTGTCTCAGTCAGCTAGTTAGTTTGTGCTATTGTGTGATTTGGGGGTTTAAAAATGTTAGTTTAGAGTCACCAAAGTCACACAGTAACACAAACTAACTAATTGATCGAAGCAGCAGTAGACCAGCAGCTCCTGTGTTCAGTGAGCTAAAATGACTGTTTTTCTCAATGGAGTCTGGTGGCTTTGACGAGAGTGTAGATAGATAACAGAATCTGTTAACAGCTTCCTCATTGGAATACGCTAACTAACGGAAGCAGTGAAAATACTCTAAATATGGCGTACAATTTTTTGTGTGTGGCTAAAATATGTTTTGCTGCTGGACCCCATCCACAGCAGTACATTGATTAGCTTCCATGTTGGACTCCAGCCTGCTTCTCCAAACTGGAGGAGTGCTGACTGACATCTACTGTATGTAATACACTGACTATGCATAAGTACCCCATACAACCCCACTTAGAAAAAATTGCACTATCCCTTTAACTCTGTGACATTAGTATTATGTTGTGTGTGTAAAACTGGCTATAAATGTGAAGTGAGCAGAAACACTAAGTGGCTGAGCAGCTCTTATGTTTGTGTTGATCTCTTTGTCCAGACAGGAAAAGAGCCAAAAGACAAGTGAAACAGAAAGGGAGCGAGAAAAAGGTAACACACACTCACACATACACTCATTCCTGTCAGCTCCAAGGTTCAGCTTTGTGTCTAACGTGAAATTTATATGAATCTTTAAATCAAACGTCAAGCTGTACCAGCTAGGTCTGACAAACTACCTATAGGACACAGTCATATGTGTGTGTGTGTGTGTGTGTTTGTGTGAGAGAGAACGAAAGAAGCGAGGCAGCTTCTTTGTCTCCAGACAGACTGTTTTCATCTCTGACACATATTTTCTCAACCTCTGTCTCCTCGCGCTCACTTTGCATGCTGGGGGTTGGCTGTGTGGGAGCCTGAGCTGTCTTTCCTGTCAGCTTCACTGTGGTTTTATTCTCTTTGGGAACTTGCATGTTTTCACTTCATGATCTGGTTCAGTTTTGTCTCTTTCTTGCCGGTGACTTCACCAGCAGTTTTGTGTTTGATTCCAGTTTTGGTTTTTTGCATTTTTGAGCTCAACACAACCCAGTTCTCGCTGTCAGTCATTAAAGTCACTATGGAAATCAGTCCCATTCTGCAACAACAGGAGGAACGCTGTTTCTGACGGAGACGCCTCAGAGGAAAGTGTTCCTGACAACTTTAGATTGCTTAATACACATACATAAATTTACATATTTAAAGCAGAATTCTGGGTGACTATATATTGTCCATTATTTTTGTCGGTTATACTCACAACATCAATAGCTGTGACCATCAGACAGGTCGGAAACCAACCAACAGTTCATCTAGATTATCTATTATCCTTATTACAGCAGAGATGCTTAAAGCCACTTATATAGATCAAAAAGTTTAGGACATAATCATTTCTATACAGTGCTGTTTAAATAATTTGCTTATAATTATTTGGGGTCTTTTCATACATGATAACATATGGAAAAACATGTTAAAACTATGGCAGCCATGAAGAGAGGTATTGTGTTTTTCAAGTTGTCTGTTTGTTTGCCTGTCCGTCCATACCATTCTCACGCCATATCTTATTTTTAAATTTGGCACAACGGCCCATTTGGATGCAATGATGAACCAATTAGATTTTGGTTGCCATAGGTCAAGGTCACTGTGGCCTCTGATTTATTCTTTTGGAAGTGAATCTCAAGAACAACTTGAGCTAATTACTTTATATTTGGTGCACACATCCGCTTAGACTCAATGATGAGTTGGTCTAATTTTGGTAGTCGAAGGTCAAGGTCACTGTGACCCTGCATCCATTTGATTCTCATGAATGTGATAGTGGCCACAGTGACTTCAACTTGGATTTAACAATAAAGTGATTAGAATTTGGTGGTCAAAGGTCAAGGTCACTGTGACCTTGTCCGTTTCATTAATTCATGTCCATTTTCCACACAACATCTTTTGCACGTCTGTCCTCCTTTCCTCGTTAAATGTTTTTTGGGGGAGTTTTTTTCTTATTTGCTGCGAGGATCCAAGGACAGAGGCATGTGATATTGAGGTTTTTTGATAAAAAAAAAATCAGTATCATGAATGTGATAGTGGCCACAGTGACCTTGACCTTTGACCACTAGAATGAAATCATTTCATCGTTGAGTCTATCTAGAGAACACCTTGAGGAAATTTCTTCAAATTTGGTGCAAACGTCCACTTGGATATAACGATAAAGTAATTAGAATTAGGTGGTCAAAGGTCAAGGTCACTGTGACAATATCTGTTTCATTCATTCATGTCCGTTATTCACACGACATCTATTGCACATCTGTCCATCAGGGAAGAGGGATCCCTCCTCAGTTGCTCTTCCTGAAGTTTCCACCATTTTTTCCCCGTTAAATGTTTTTTGGGGGAGTGTTTTTTTTCTTATCTGCTGTGAGGGTCCAAGGACAGAGGCATGTCATATTGAGCTTTATTAGTAGAATTAAAATGAATTGAATTAAATTCTTGTTAGCGTGGTATCTCAAGAGCACCTTGGGGAATATCCTTTTATGTTTTCCTACTATGTATTCAGATTGTCCATCCATCCATATTGCTGTCCATACAAACATGTCCGTCCCATTCTTGTGAACACGATATCTCAGGAAGACCTCGATGGAATTCCTTCAAATTTGTCACAAACGTCCACTTGGACTCAACAATGAACTGATTAGAATTTGGTGGTCTGAGGTCAATGTTACTGTGTCCTTGCATTAGTATTGTGCCCGTGAACATGATATGTCAAAAACACTTTGAGGGTATTTCCTCAAATTTGACACAAACGTCCACTAGGACTTAAAGACGAACTGCTTCGAATTTGGTGGTCAAAGGTCAATCTAACCTTACAAAACATGTTTTTGGCCATAACTCAAGAATTCATATGCTAATTATAACAAAATTTCACAAAAAACGTAATAGGACACAATGAAACAGTGTTTTATATCCAAAAGGTCAAAGGTCAACTTGACTGTGAGATGACAATGTTCAGCATGAAACATTTTCCTGGCCTTTATTAAAGTCATATCTCAGGAACAGAAGGGGAGACATTTGGTCAGATACTGAATTTGTGACACCAATCTTGGGTGATTGTATAGATCTTCTGTGCTGCCGGGGGGAAGATGTTTGTGAAGCATCCATGATTTCACAGACGTGGATGTAAACTGTAACTGCAACCCGACTGGTTCGCAGAGACATACAACTGCAAGGTGGTAATTTTATTCTTATTCTACTCCCACCAGGATAATGTGCCTTATAGTAGCTCGTCTACTTCCAGCTGGCTATATGATTCTGGCACTGAGTGCACATTGTCTCTGAGTAAGAAAAGTAGTCACTTCAAAGCTTACGACAAACTGTAGCAGTGAAAGTTGGTGCTTCTCAGGTGACCTTGTGTAGTCCACTCATGCAACGACAAACAATCATAGCTGCTATTGATAAATACAGAAAATTACTGAATGCATAAGGGAAAAGCACCTGTGGTTAAAGTCGCCCTCATCATGTGGATTGACAATGCCCGGTCACATAATGACCCTGCAATTAAACAAGTGTACTGTATTTTGAAATAATCAGTGGGGCGCCTGTGACTCAGGAGGTACTTGCACTAATTGGAAGAATGGCAGTTCAAATCCCAGCTCCTCCTGTCTGCATGCTGAGTATCCTTGGGCAAGATACTGAACCCCAAATTGTTCCCATCGGTGTGTGAGTGTGTTTAAACTAAGTAGCGTGTACCACCTTGTATGGTACCCTCAGCCACCAGTGTATGAATTGGGGATGTTCCTGGCAACTAAACGAAAATTTTAATTAAGTCTAGTTGACAAGTCTAAAAAAAGGTCTCGGCACAGTGTGTTCAGGCTCAACATATTCAACTGACTTCCTTAAGCTTTTACTTTCAGCAAAGTTAAGTGGAAGCATATCTTGCGAGGTCATTGTTATGATAAGCTGCGTTATCTTCGCAGACCGGGCGGGATCACAGCGTCTCAGGGTGAACGGCATCAAATTGGTCTGAGTGTGGCTAACATCGCTAGCAGCAGCAGCCATCTTTCTGTGCTTGAGTTGAATGTGGTTGCGCATTGATCCAGCCGAATTGGTTCTGCCAAACTGCCAAATGTGAGGACATCTCTCTAATTTCCCACCGTGCTGTTTTAAAACTCCAGTCTACTGGAGCATTACCACAGGGAGGGGGACTGCTGTCTGACGGCTCTGTAGCACCCGCTAGTGGCGGGCGGCTGCATGACGATTAAGAGGCCTTGTACATGAATAAAACACTAATTGGTTTAACCGACTAATATTTCTGGTGCCAACTAGCAAGGGGGCGGACGTTTAATCGTTTAAACGCCTAATCGCGCACATCCCTAGTATGAATGTGAGATTATGTAGTGTAAAGGCCTGACAGAGTCTTGGATTGTCAAAGGTGTTGTCTTGACTGGATTAACCCTATAGGGACCCCCATGGCCATGACCCCCCCATTTCTCCAGCTTTCTGTGCACTCAGGAGAGCAGATCATCCACTGATCGGGAGATCGATGGTTCAGTCTTATGTTTGATGCCTCCAGCTGTCAATAATTGTCTCTTGGGGTACCGAGTATAAGTCAGTGCTGACTGTAAGCCATACAGTCCATGGAGGTCTCCAGTGTCTCAGTGAAGAGGTGGTATTCTGTCAACATCGGCACAACAGCAAAAGAAAAGCCAGAATCAGGGGACAGGTTAATTTTTTATGCCACTGTGCTGGCAGTAGCTGTGGCCAGAGGCATCATGCTCTCCGGTTGTCCATCTGTCTGTATGTCTATCTATCTGTTATCTCTCATGAATGCCTTGATGGATTTTTTTTTTCAAATTTGGCACAAACAACCACCTGGACTCAAGGATGAACTGATTAGATTTTGATGGTCAAAGGTCACAGTCACTATGACCTCGCATATGTCTCATTCCTATAAACACCTTGAGGGGATTTCTTCAAATTCGGTAAAAACGTCCAGTTGGACTCAGTGATGAACTGATTACATATTGGTGGTCAAAGGTCAAGGTCACTGTGACCTTGCATTTCTCTTATTCTCATGTGAACGCAATATCTTAAAGACGCCTTGGGGGACTTTCTTGAAATTTGGCAAAAACGTCCAGTTGGACTCAATGATGAACTAATTACATATTGGTGGTCAAAGGTCAAGGTCACTGTGACCTTGTATTTTTGTCTTATTCTCATGAACGCAATATCTTAAAGACGCCTTGGGGGACTTTCTTGAAATTTGGCAAAAACGTCCAGTTGGACTCAATGATGAACTAATTACATATTGGTGGTCAAAGGTCAAGGTCACTGTGACCTTGTATTTTTGTCTTATTCTCATGAACGCAATATCTTAAAGACGCCTTGGGAGACTTTCTTCAAATTTGGCACAAACATCTACAACTAAAGGATGAATTAATTCGATTTTTGGGGTCAATAGTTAAGCTCAGTGGAACCTCCCTTTGTCTCATTCTAGAGAGTGCGATATCTCAAAAAACATCTTGAGTGAATTTCCTCAAATTTGGCACAAAAGCCCACTTGGAATCAGTGATGAACTGCTTAGGCTTTAGTGATCAGAGGTCAGAGGTCACTGTGACCTCACAAAACATGTTTTTGGCTACAACGAAAAGACAAAAAAACACCTGCAAAACTGACCCACCACAGGACTCTGCAGACACATTGAGGAAACATGCACAAGTGCTCTATTGAGATTATAAAAAAAGAAGCTATTCTTAAAAGTTATCGACGACCTCACCTGTTTTAGCTGAAGCCACTGGCTGCAGCATTGCTGCTCCAGTCATTGAGTGGGCTGCATTTTTTGACACAGCAGTACTCTCAGTCTGACTGCAGCCATTTAGAGAAACCGGTAAGTTCTTCTCTGCCTGTACCTGAACGCTCGTTGACGGGAAAATGGACAGCTGGCACAATGTTTTCCTTTTTGCATAATCTATTTCAAGAAGAAGTCAATTAAGTTATGGAAATGTTTAAATTCAATTTGCATCTCTTTGTGTTCAACTTACATGCATCTGCTAATTCTAATGCATTCGTCCTCTGCCTCTCATCCATACACACATGCGCACACACACACACAGAGCTCCCATAAGGGTCAGACAGGTTGACTGCATCAAACTGAGAGTTCAATGGAGCAAGTGACGTGTGTGTGTGTGTGTGTGTGTGTGTGTGTGTGTGTGTGAGGGGAAGATGTGCCCAATTTATGAGTCTGTGAGAGACAGAAGGAGGGGGGCAAGTCTTAGCATAGCCTCTATGGTTTCATAAATCTCCTCTGCTCTCCTGTCTTCCTCTCCTCAGCCTCTCCCCTCGTGTCTTAAGGCTGGCTCTCATTTTCTCTGGTTTACTTAATTCCTTCCCTGGGCTAAATTCATTTAATTCCTACATTCAAAGTGTGTGTTGGGTTTTGTGGTTTGTGTGTTGTTTTTGATTTGTCTTGCAGCCACAAAAGCTCTTAGAGATTTTTTTTTTTGAAGTCTTCCCTCTCTTTCTCTCTCTCTCTCTCCTTCTCTCCCCATCTCTCTCTCTCTCTGTCTCACCCCTCCTGTCCCCCTCTCTCTCCCACACACACACACTCACACTAAGCCTAACATAACTGGATTAGGACTCAGCTATTTAGAGAGAGAGGGAGTGAGAGCGAGTATTGAGGTCAACCTAATAAACATTCATCTCATATGTCAGCCTGGCTTTAGCCATATACACAGCATGTGTTTCAACCAGTAATGACATTAACATACCATGATGTCTGTGTTTCAAATGCTTTTGATGAGACATTACACTAATGACACATATTGCCTTTGTCTAATTCACCCGCTGATACTGTATGCACTGTTTTACGCCTAGTTATGTATATATATGTTATAATATGCATCTCCGTCTGTCTGTTTCGCTCTCTCATGTATTCTAGAAATGCTGATCGAGTGTGTGAAGAACAAGGACGTGAAGAAGGTGAGTGACAGCCTCATTTGCCAATCCATCACCAATGTTTGAACATTCATCCAGCACAGATGGAGGCTTGGCGAAACGCAGCAGAAGCTTTCTTTGACCATTAATTACCATGAATTGTAACTGATATAATTTGACAAGTCTGAACAATGATCACTCAATATAGTGTGAGTTAAAGTGCCCCTCCAGACATGTTTTAAAGTATGTGAAAATTAGGGATCTACGATGTTGAATTTTTTGCCGATATCCAATATGCTGATAGAAAATGACCCATTTGGCCAATAACTGATACCGATATCGATATATCCACATTTTCTCACCTCACATCTCACCTTGAGGAAATTTCTGTCAATTTGGCACAGACGTCCAGTTGAACTCAGTGATGAACTGATTCGATTTTATTGGTCACAAATCAAAAGTCAATTAATGTCATGGCTTCATCCATGACATTCTCATGAACACGGTATCTCAAGACCACCTTGAGGTAAAAGGCTGAAGCACAAACGCCCACTCGGATTCAGTGATGAACAGATTTTAATTTTGGTTGTCAAAGGTCAAGGTTACTGTGACCTCGCATTTTTCATATTCTCACAAACACAATCAAGAATGCCATGGGGGAATTTCTTCAACTTTGGCACAAACGTCCACTTGGATTCAGTGATGAACAGATTTTAATTTTGGTTGTCAAAGGTCAAGGTTACTGTGACCTCGCATTTTTCATATTCTCACAAACACAATCAAGAATGCCATGGGGGAATTTCTTCAACTTTGGCACAAACGTCCACTTGGATTCAGTGATGAACAGATTTTAATTTTGGTTGTCAAAGGTCAAGGTTACTGTGACCTCGCATTTTTCATATTCTCACAAACACAATCAAGAATGCCATGGGGGAATTTCTTCAACTTTGGCACAAACGTCCACTTGGATTCAGTGATGAACAGATTTTAATTTTGGTTGTCAAAGGTCAAGGTTACTGTGACCTCACATTTTTCATATTCTCACAAACACAATCTAGAATGCCATGGGGGAATTTCTTCAACTTTGCCACAAACATTTACATACAACACTTTTCCTAACAATACCAGATGATTCAATCAAACATACATATTTGTATGTATAGATATATAGATATCCGAATAATTAATATTTGCTTGTAATATATGCCCGTTTGCCATATGAACTTTATAAGGTTAGAAGTCAGATGGTGTATTTTCAGCTTGTTCCGCTGCCCCACAATAGTAAAAAAACATAATCAACTCATTAAATGTAAGTTAAAAGTATTTTTCTTTAAGTATTTGTAGCACTCAGCCTAAATGTTGCAAATTGCATAATGTTTGCCACTTTAAAGCTCATTTAACATCTATTTCACACAAAGCTGCAGGAGCTGCACCTGAAGGGGGCGGACCTCACAGCGCTGGACTCATCAGGCTGCAGTTTGCTGCACCATGCTGTCGCTACAGGAAGCAAAGACGTGGTCCGCTACATCCTTGACAATGGTAACTGTAGCTTCTAACCATATGTTCTAATTATATTAGATGTAATCAAATTGGAATGCAAGTCTAAATAATCTAGGCTTCTGGACCCACATGAGAGACGTCACAGTGTTACAGTTACTTGCATTATCTCTCTTTGAGCTCTGTTTTGGTCTCCACCAACTCCTGAGAGAAATATGTGGCTCAACAGCAGATAAATGCTCTATGATATTTAAGTGTTTAAAAGTAGGTGTGTTTCTTTTTCTGCCGAGCAATGTGGGCTTTTCTTTTGGGCATGCATCTCTACACCAGCTTTTAAACTGTTGGCAAGTTGGTTTGGGTACAATGTATTGACGACAACGTGCTGAGTTGGTTCTTCTGTGTGGAGTTTGCATGTTCTCCCTGTGTCAGTGTGGGTTTTCTCTGGGTTTTCTCCTGTCCAGGGTGTACCTCGCCTCACACCCAGTGTCAGCTGGGATAGGCTCCAGCCCCTCCACAACCCCTAACAGGATGAGCAGTTACAGGAAATGAATGTAAACAGAGTGATTTACACCTCCGTCTCTTTGGTGTCTTTTGTCTGGGGCAGTAACCTCTTTAAAAGTGCATGTGGTACCTGTTCACGTCAGTGGTACATTAATTAAGTTTAATTAATTCATAAACCCCTGGACTTGAATAGCTTATATTAGTTTCAGCAAAATTTTCAGCTCATGTTTAAAACATATCCCACATATCTGTGATCTCCAAGCAGTGAGACTAAAGTCGTAATATTTTGAGAATAAAGCCAAAATATTTCAGGTACAAATCTACCTTCCCTTTAGTCTGCTGTGCATAACATTATAACTCTGCTGATTTGGTGATACCCCCTTCAGACCGTCAGATGGAAAAGAACCCTGTTTGGGACTAGATGAGGCAAAGTTTCGTAGGACTCCTGTGGCAAAGTTGGAAAACCAAAACTAACTGAAAACACCTCTGATCAGGCATAAATCTCACCATAGTGTGGCTTATTGTCCACATATATATTTCCAAGCTTCCAGTAAAGTGAAGCTCTTAGCCGCTTCCCTCAGCTTCTCAGTGGGAAGCATCCTGGAGTAGTTGGACAGTCCCATCCAAGCGAAGGTATTTATAAGTGAATTAAGTGTTGCAGATGTGATATTTATTTAAATGTAGCTCTTATTTTCATCGTTAAATCTGGAAAATGTGACTGTGAACTTAATCATGAAAAGACAATGTACAATCCATCTGTCGTCACACAGTAGCTAGGAATGAAAATTTCAACGACATGATTACTAACCATAACCTTTTTTTTTTAAATTAAGGTATATTTGTCATCATCTCACTGATCATAGGTGAGGTAAAGATAATTATTAAATTAGTCTGATGTCTCTCTACAGTAACCTCTTTTCATCTGTCTGTTTTGCAGCTCCAAGTGACCTGCTCGATGTCACAGAAAAACTACAGTAAGTTCCGTCATGGATACCTTTACCATTAAAACCATTCAACAATTGTCACATTATGTTTTCAGATTGCCCATCCATCCATATGTCCATCTGTCTGTCCATCCCAGTCTTGTAGAAATGATATCTGTAGAATGTCTTGTTGGAATTCCTCCAAATTTGGCACAAATGTTCACTTGGACTCAAGGATGAACTGATTAGAATTTGGTGGTCAAAAGTTAAGGTTGCTTTGACCTTTCATTTGTCTTATTTTCGTGAATGCAATACCTTGAGGGAATTTTTAAAAATTTGGCACAAACATCCACTTGGACTCAACAATGAACTGACTGGAATGTGGTTGTCAAAAGTCAGGGTCACTGTGACCTTGCATCCATCTTATTCTTGTGCATGCAATATCTTAAGGAGGCCTTGAAGGAAATTTCCGCAAATTTGGCACAAACATCCACTTGGTTTCAGCCATGAACTGATTAGAATTTGGTTGTCAAAGGTCAAGGCCACTGTGACCTGGTTCATCCCATTATTGTGAACATGATATCTCAGGAACACCTTGAGGGAGTTTCTTAAAATTTGGCACAAACGTCCCCTTGGACTCAGTGATAAAGTCTGTCAATTTTGGGGGTCAAAATTTCATGACCTCACAAAGCATGTTGGCCATAACTCGGTAAGTCATACACTAATTATGACGAAATTTCAAAAATGTCTCGGCCACTGTGACTTTGCTTCATTCTCATTCTTGCAAACATGATGTATTAAGAATTCCTCAGGGTAATTTCTTCAAATTTGGCACAGACATCCTCTTGGACTCAACCATGAACTGATTAGATATTGGTGGTCAAAGGTCAAGGTCACTGTGGCCTGGTTCATCCCATTATTGTGAACATGATATCTCAGGAACACCTTCAGGGAATTTCTTAAAATTTGGCACAAACATCCCCTTGGAATCAACAACGAACTCAAAAATTTAAAAAATGTCTAATAAGATAAAACTATGAAGTAATGACATTTTATATCCAAAAGATCAAAGGTCAACTCCACTCTGACATCATAAGGTTCTGCATAAAACACTTTCTGGCCATCATTTAACATCACATCTCAGGAACAGAGAAACATTTGGTCACATACTGAATTAGTGATACTAATTTTGGGTGTCCATCTTGAAACTGTGCTCATTGTGTGTGTGTGTGTGTGTGTGTGTGTGAAGCATCCATATTCTAGACTTAGTAGCTTCTTTGCTACATATGAGTCTGTATGAGTCTACATGCCACACAGTGTGGCTAAGAAAAAGTTTTTAAGGCTGAAAGTTTTCCCACTGACTGTAGCACCAGCTTTGATGTTGTGTCCCTGGGCTCTGGTCTGTCTATATGTGCTGTACATCCTAACAAGCATTCGAAATCTTAAAGAGAATAAACATAAGAAAGCAAACAAAAGCCGTAGGGTGCCTGGTCATCAGTGGTGCTTGACTCTCAGAAGACGTCAGATGCTGTTCTCTCATGCCGGCTCTCTCGCTTTCTCTCTGTCTCTGAACTCTGGACCACCAGCGGCGAGACGGTTCTTCATCGAGCTGCATCTCTGTGTCACAGGACCATCTGTCATTATCTGGTCGAAGCAGGAGCCTCACTGATGAAAACAGACCTACAGGTAGGTTATGTGCACAGGTGTGTAGCGTCCAATGTTTTTAGTACACCATTTACCAAGCTGCACTTACCACACATCTGATTTTCAGCTGACTCTACATGCATAATATATATTTATATAAAAGCACTTTACTGGAAATTAGTCTTTTTATTTTAGTCTTTTTTTTTCAGCTGAAAAGAAAAAAATAAACATTCCTGTTTTGCTCAGATCAGACCCTGGAGAACACAGCTGTGTTCTGCTCATTTTAAAATGACCAAAATGAATTTTTCTTTTTAAACAGATGATAAAAAAATGACCTTTTCAGTGAAGTAAACATATGTAATGTGGTATTAAGCAGCAATACTCTTGTCCGGCCTCTTGCTTGGTCTCTTTTTCTCTTCTGTCCTTCCTCTGTGAATATCCTCCTTAGTCTCATTGCCTCTGCCATGATGTCTGTACTGAGAACACTGAGCTGCTGTAATTAGGGATGCACTGATTGTGAAAATCTGGGCCGATACTGATGTTTAAAATAACTATTTGGCCGATAGTTGACACCAGAACAATCCAGGAAACAATGAAATATTCACTATGAAAATAACTGTTAAGAACTGTTTTAAAGTCATTCAGTCCTTCATTACACTACCTTTGAATGAACACAACCTTTAATAGTATTGGGCACAAACTGCTCAGGAATGGACCAAAGAACATGACAAAGAGCTTAAGCTTGACCTGGCCTCCAAATTCCCCAGATCCAAGACCAATCAAGCATCCTTGGGACATGCAGGTACGTCATCTTGCAACTGACAGGACTCAAAGGATCTGCCGAGACGACCCTGGTGCCAGACACCACGGGGCATCCCCAGACTTCCTGTGTCCATACCTTGACATGTCAGAGCTATGTCTAATCCATAGAGGCCCAACTGTGGATTGGTGGTACGTCTGGGGTATTGGCACGTCCCATAGATGCTCAGTCAAATTGGGAGCTGGGGAATTCGGAGGCCAGGTCAAGGTCTTGAGCTCTTCGTCACGTTCCTTGGGCCATTCCTGAGCAGTGTGGCATGGCGCATTGTCCTTCTGGGGGACCACTGCCATTGGGGAGTGTTGTTGCCATGAGGGGGGTTTACTTGGTCTGCAACAGTGTTTGGGTGGGTGGAGCACATCAAGTAGCATCCACATGAATGCCTGGACCAAAGGTTTCCCAACAGAACATTGCACTGCAACAAGATGATCAATGTTATTCACTTCACCTGATCTGGATGGTCAAGAACATTTGATGCATCTAGAGTTGACTTCTCTTATATTTTCTCTTATCAGAAGATTAAGTAAAAATATAAAAGAAATTTAAGAGAATGTTGCTGCATGAGGCCCCTTGTTTTTTGTGTCGTTACTATCGAAATTAAATGAAGTGTATTTGACGATAAAAAAACTGTTAATTTAAATGAAGTCTGGTGGGTTTGGCAGTGGCAATTTCAGGGCTGTTTCAGATTAAACAAAAAGGATCTTACCCTCTAACGAAAAGTTCTGTCTCTATAGGGATGCTTTCTGGACATTGTCAGACACTTTGAATAATATTCTTAGCCTGTTGTTGACGTAAATTGACAGTGTGAGGATGCCTCGAAAGGTTACATTGCAGCCTGTTTTGCTGGTCTTGCTAGTTTCAAAAATTGTTGTTCCCATCAGTCACTTAGACACAAAAACATGAGAAAATAGAGCCCAGGTTTAAAACTACCAAAGTTACCCTTAAACTAAAGGTTTGGCTGTTCTGGTGAAGTCTACCATTGTGGACGTCTCTTGGGTGTGTGTGTTGGTCTCCAATATGCATCTTCTTTCATTTCTGTTCAGTTTTCCATGGAGGTTTCAACAGTGTAGAAAATGCTCCTAACTGGCTGGACTCAGCAATGACCTAGTTACAGCGAGAGGGAGAGAGAGGGAAGAATGGAGACAGGGAGACGGACAGACAGACCGCGAAGAGAGTGCAGTGAATGGAAAAAGAGACGAATGACTTGAGAAGATGGCGATTTGACATCGCTATAAAGTACTCTGTTTTATCTCTACATCTCCCTGCACTCACCACTTAGGGTCTCGCTCTGTCTCTCTGCGTCTCTGTCTCATTCACTCGTTTACTGGGAATGTTTCCCAATCTGGTAAAACCCCAAAGACAAACACACACACACACACACACACACACACACACTGGACTCAACTAATTAGAGTGTGTGATTCAGCATAAAGGCCCCTCCCCCCCTAAACAGCCACTTAGACTATGTGTTGTGTGCGTTTGTGTGTGTCCTCTCAAGGACACATGTTGTTTATTTCATTTCTGACTCACTCTCATTATCTCATTGTTTTCAGTCGGAGACAATGCTACTGTAACAACAGCTCTTTTCAGTTCTAGAGAATTGCGATGTGAAAAACTCACTTGGCCGTAAACTCCCTATCACGCACGTTTTAGACACGGCAGCTGGATCCTAATGAAACACCACAATCTCGCCAGCACAGAGAAGAGCAGAGGGCGGTCATTATGGCAAGTGGGAATAAGACTCTAACAAAAGCCTGTTTTGTTTTTAACAAGACTTAAAGTCGAGAGCCCAGTGTGCATCACAGCTCGCTGTGCAGAAGTCACCAAATCACCAGTGTGTTGTTTAGTCTGTTTACTGTTGAGGCTTACAGTACCAGAGGTCTGACTGTGTTAACAGTGAAGATGGGCCAACAGGCTTTATTACAGTTTGTGCAAACAAACAAACAAACCTCCAACATGTCATCAAGGTAAACAACTTATTTTACTGTGCCGTGCTGTGCTGTGGAAAAAGACTTGAATCCTCCTCGTGGCTTGAGTGTTCATGGTTGTTCAAGTCTAAATTAGCCAGGGAGGCACTGGTTGAGAGATTCTGGGCCAATACCAATGTTTAAGATGACAATTTGGCTCATGGGTTAGTTGTTCACAATGTAGCAATGTTTTCAACTTTGGCACAAACATCCACTTGGATTTAAGGATGATCTGATGAGAATTAGGTGGTCAAAACTCAGGATCACTGTGACCTTGCATCTGTCTCGTTCTTGTTGATGCGATTCTCAAGAACGCCTTGAAGGTATTTCTTCAAATTGACACAAACATCCATCCATCCTTGGACTCCACAATGAACTGATTAGATTTTGGTGGTCAAAAGTCAAGGTCACTGTGACCTTGTGTCTGTCTAATGTCACCCTGTTGTTTATCTGGAAAACAACAGGATGTGTCCCGCAATGCAATGATAGTGAGTTTACGGCGTCCTGAAGGAATCTCAATGGAGATCTCTGGTCATCCCGAACTCATTTTCTATCGTCTCTCTGACGACAGGACGCTGTTAATCTGGAGCCCTGCTTTTTAGCCTGAACGAAATTGATGTCACATAACAGGACAGGCCAGTGGCCATCAAAAAGGCGAATATTGGCTGATGCAGATTTGCGCCTGATAATTTGGTGCATCCGCAAAAAATTAGCCGTGCATATCCCCTCTCAGACCTGGTGAAAGGATTATTGGCAAGGGATGACATTCGAATATATTTGGTGGGTGGGATCACAGCATGCATTTTTACTTTGAAATGCAAAATCTATGCCTAATCCATATGTTGCCTGTAGCCGAGTACCTTTTATATGTATTGAAATAAAACAAAGACATAGCCAGGAAACAGTTCTGCAAATTTAAATTGTCATTGTTATCTTGACTGAACACTTTTCCCGAAAGATCATAAGAAGTATAACAATTAGTGCTAAAGAAATTCAGGTAAACTGCTCCTCTCCTGGCTGATTATGAAATCATGAACATAGTATGGAGAAATCTGTGTAATCAGTGTGCAAATGTGGGTGACTATGACCTGAAAAATGGATCCCAATGTGAGCATAGCCTCTGTGGTCAGTTGCCATAGTAAAGGCACCATAATGTGCTCTGAGCTTTGATGGACACAGCGTAAAGGTCAGGGGGATTTCATGGAAACCTGGCCTCTCACTGTTGAGGTAGCTTTATGTGGACTGTCAGTGTTGGAATAAAAGAACAGAAAGGACAAGCAGTTGAAATAACGGTCTCTGTAATCCTTTGTGTCTCTTCATCAGGGTGATACTCCCAAGAACAGGGCTGAGAAAGCCAATGACTCTGAACTGGCAGCCTATCTGGAGAACAGACAGCATTACCAGATGATACAGAGAGAGGACCAGGAAACGGCCGTCTGAAACTGCCGAACTCTTTCTGGGAAGGACGTGGGTGAAGACGCCGCTGTCTTCGTCCTCATCGTCGCGAGTCTGACAGCAGCTCATTGAGGCCTGTGTGACAGGGAGGACTGGTACACAGATTCCGGCGCGTGCTTTCAAGGAATGACACGCGTCAGCAGAGTGCAGACTGAGAGTGAAGCTGTGCCAAATCTGATCACAACATGCATTGATGGTAAAGACAGCTGAAGCCTATGTTAATGAGGGATAAACAGAAACATTATGAGATGTATATGAAGCCATTCCATTTTATTTTGAGTCGCTCAGTAATAAAAAGTGTTTGTGAAGCCAAAACAATAGAAACAGCTGCGGGATGATCCGAATCTTGTTCTTGACTTTGAGAAGCATTTTGGGGTCAAACTAAAAGTGATCATCGGCCATAAATCAGATATAATGCAATGTTTGTTATTATGTTTATTATCAGAGAGTAAATTGAGTCTGTCATGGCTTAAGAAAACGAGGAACTACGGAGCAAAAGTTCACCTCACCAAAATTTCAGATGTTTTATGTAGGTGAGATTATGAAATATTGTGTGTGCGTAGTATTGGCATTTTGGCCTGAAGATGGCGTTAGGTTAATGTTGATTGAACGTCCAATAAAGAAAACCTCTGGGGAAAAATTTGGGCTCAGTGGGGCCGTTAGGATTCATTCTCTTGGGACCATGAGAGCTAATTTCATCAAAATCAGACCATTAGTTTTTAGAATATGATTATTCATGGCAATTTAGTTGTTCTTGTTTGGACCAAAGTGCTGGACTGATTGACCAACCGAGCCATTTACCATCAAGAACAGTGACACCTCTGTTTGTTCATTGGGATGAAGCTCTGTGATTATTTTGCTGACTATAAATGCCATCATCAGTTATGTTGTGATCCGGCTTCGGTTGGTCTTACCTCACCCGTTTGACTTTATCAGTTTGTTGTACATAGTGTATTTTGTTGACTTATATCAACATATTCTAGAGATAATTATTATTTATGTCGGGAAGTAATCAAAGTAATGTTTTTCTGGTGCCTGTGCTGAACGATTGGATGTCTGAGGTGAATTCATGGTCCAGTGTGTAGGATTTATGGGGATAAATTGGCCAAATTTAAAATGCTTATTTTCTTTAGTGTATCATCCCCTGAAAATAAAATAGTTGTGTTTTCATTACCTTCGAATAAGCTGTTTATATCTACAAAGGGAGTCAGTCTTTGTTTATTGAGATTGAGTCATGTTCACCGCCATCCTTCTACTGTAGCCCAGAATGGACGAACCAAACTCTGGCTCCAGATGGGCCAATTGCGTTTTCTCATCGGCCACTGTAGTAAGAAGCCCATCTGCAACAAGTAGTGTTGGGAAAACACTGATTTGAATGTCCTCCTGAATGTCTGGGTCAAAGAAAAGGTGACTGCACATTAAGCTATCGGAGAAAAAAGCTGTGCAAGGTTCTGAACAGTGTAGGAAAGCTGCTCAGTACGTTTCCATGACATTAGAGAAAATAGATTTATTGTGTTAGTCCGACTAAAACTGGACTATAACATGTAAGTATGACTGAAAGTGTACTAACTTGAATTTCTCAAAGTTGGACTAACACACCCAGATAATACGATTGGGAGTCGACCCAAACTAGCTGAGGCGTTCTGCGCATGCTCCACAGTTTCCGCCCTGGGCTTTGACCAGGAAGTCCGATAGTATTAAATGCTTAACAGAAGAACAAGCCACTAACAACATGACAAAATCTACATCCAGAGCTGTAAAGTTGGCCACCATGGTACCAGTTTGCTGCAAGCTGACCGTAGCTAACTTGTTTGTTGATTGTTTGGTCTGTGACGGAATTGGTCAACCGGAAAAACATCCAATACTAACAAGCTAAAAGGGGGCATATCACCACCTATCGTAGAAGAGTCGGACATACTTTTGTCAATCAACCATGCTTGTATACTGGGACAATGACAGCAGTCCAAGTAAATGGCCTCGTCGAGCTGTAACCATATCTTGACTTAACCGAGTACGTAAATGTACTGAGATATTTGTAACATAACAGGTTATTGTTTTTGAGAGGAAGAGACCTTGCTGATAATTTCCGCTCCCCGTAAGAACTTCCTCAACAATGAACTCTGAAGGAATTCTTACCAGGAGAAGTTTCAGCTGGTTGCAACACACAGTCCTCGTGGCTAGATGCCACTAAACCCCACTTCATCTTACACACTGAACCTTTAAACATCCTCAACATCAAGATCAAAGTTGTTTGTGAGTGTACATTAGATGAAAAAAAAGAGACATCTGTATGCTCATATTTTATTGTTTTTGTAAAATTTAAGCCTGAAATCATGTCCGATTAATTTAAGGTTGTGCCAAATTTAAAGCTTGTTTACATTTAAAGATATAGTACACACCAGTCATTGTCTTTTGAATCTGTAATCCAAACTGTGTTGAGTTCAAGATCAACACTGAGGAACATTTAGATTTCGGGGGTCACTTTTGGACGCTGCAGAAAAAACAGATATTAAACTCAAACCTCTTTCAATCGCTGTCTGCTTTACATTCTTTGAAACTTTGAAGCTGTACGAGTTTTTAAAAAATGGGCACTCCCGACATCTATTATTACAGTTGGTCATCTGATTGGATTGGGAAAACATTTCAGTAGGATTGGTATGCCTTTGATCCAAAATATCAGGATTATCCTAAACCCAACAGAATGCTGGATTCAGGGTCAAAATGTAATAAAACTTATAAGCAAATGAGTTGTTAAATTGTTCGTGATAAGGAAGATAAAGTAAACATTGGGCTACCAATTAAGCCTTTCAGTGTGGTTAAGTTAAAGAAAAAAAGAAGAGGGTTGGTGTCCCCATAACATAATCCCCCCAAACAGCTGTCAATGTCAAACAAAATTTATTTCCTAGTCTTTATATTCCTATGAAGAACACTGGTTATCGGGATTTGGATATCTCGAAAAGTTTGTATCTGGATCAGGGTGATCCAATCCAGTGTTACTTTGAGAAACCACCCCAAAAGTAAAATGGATTGGCTGATCCTGGATAGCAAAACATGGGAAGTCCAAGTCTGAACCATTCCGAACAATAATTCAAATGACAAACAATCAGAAACCTGGATCCTGTTCGAACTATGTCTACATGAAGATGAAGAACCAGATTTTAAGACTGGATAAGACTTAAACTGGGATATTAATGTGCATCTCATCGCAGTCAACACTCATTACATGGCAGTGTTTTTTCATGTGTTAAGATTTTTCACATATAAAGCCTAAACGTAACTCGCAGCATCATCTCAGTCTTAATCAGGAAAACTGCAGGCATTTTGCAGGTTTTGCTGTCTCTCTTCAGATCACAGCTGGCGCCGGACATCAACATAATGTCAGAAAGATGGCTGACGATATCTTATATGTCTACCAAGATTAGAATTTAACATTGTGTGGACTTTAACATCATATACCCTCTTTACACCTTGCATTAACATGCGTTTTTTTTGTGTGATCGGATTGCTCTTGACCACATGAAAGTACAGGTGTAAGTACACTCGAAACGCATTAAGGACAGATTGTTATCCGATCTGCCAAACCACTTCTGAAGGTGGTCAGGGATGCATTGTGACCACATGGAACAAAGGTGTAAACGCAAATGCAAACACTCAACGGGTAGCGACTGCCAAGACAAAAAAAAACACGGAGAGACTCACAGTGAGACGAAGTGTCTGCTCTCCATTTGGTCTGACAAAAGCGTCCATACAATACTTAATGGGGGGCTAACATCTTCTTCTTCTTGTTATTGCGGCGCACAGGATATGAAGCTCAGCGTAAGTTCAATCAGGAAGACCTTTCCGTGCTCATTCATTCACAATTCTCCCTCTCTCACTCCCACTGCTTCCTCCAATTAGCTGCCACCAGGCGTGCACTCTTCTTGCTGTCCTATTGTAATTAGCCACGGCCTCCATCAGCCAATCAGGTCGTCACTACGAGATTTTAAATCTGTTCTCTCCTCTGACGCTTTCAGCTGTCATTCTAGGCAGAATCACCGCCCCTCCTCCACCCCGTTCACCTCCAGCCGTCACATCCAAGGTCAAAGATAAACCCGAAGACTCATTCCTCTTCTCATCCAGATCATCAGCACCCATCCATCTGATCCTCATCTCTTCTCCACTTCCTCTACCACCACCAGCGTCTAGACCCTGGGGGGGTTCCCTAATTGGCTACGGATCCATCACCCTCCTTATAGCTCACCATCTCGAAGGGGTCTAATCGCCAAAGACTTTTCACATTTTCACATTCCATTCTCATGTGCATTTGTAATTAAATATTTTCTTTCCTAACCAAAAACATGTCTCTCCTCATTGAAATGATAGTCTGCTGCTGGAAATTTTTGCAGAAGAAGAAGAGGAGGATGTGACATCAGCACAACGGAGCGTGATCGGATAGCAAACGGATCTGGATGTGGACACCAGAGGCGCATATTAATACCAGGTATAAATGTATGTGGTCAAGCGCTATCCGATTGCAAGGGGAGTAAAGGGGGCCATAGCATTTTCCAGACGTTGGGTTTTGTTCTCTGTACCTTAGGACGAACTGTCATTATTCTACATCAGGATGATGTCGGCATAAAATGTTCGGAAGATGCTGGATTTTCATAACTTAACAACACAACTTGGAACCAACGAAATATCAGTGTCATCTGTCATCAGTATTCTACATCAAATTGACTTTGGCTTTCAACATTGTCCTGACATTGAATTTTGGTCACCCAAAGTCACAACCTAAACTGAACCAGATATTAACGTCTAACGACACTGGTGGGCGGATGCCAAATTCTCTTGACAAGCCGGGCATTCTCTTGAACTGAACATACTTTTACACGTTAAACAGCTTTTTGCAGATTACCTGTGGAGTACCCGCGGGTACCTGACCCGATGCAGGACCCTGGACTGCATGTAGAAAGTGAAACCAGCATGAAGTGTCTCAGGCCACCACAAACCTCCAAAACCGATTAAGTGCTCCTTGCCAAGTCTGTGGAACTCTATCGAAGGGATAAACACCATTCATCCACAAGATATTCCTTCATTTATATCAATTACAGCCTTTATTTAATCACTCATTGAGAACAAGCGCTCTAAATACAGCAGATAGAGGAAAGCAAAGATAACCAGACATATCAAAGGAGCATGTAGGATCAGAGATAATCACAGACTTTTGAGGATAGAAGTTTGTATATGGTGTTATGGAGATGATGAAGATCACACATCTTCCGTTAGTGTTTTATTGACTGTAAAACAGTTTATTTATTTTCATTTTCATACTCACCAAAACACTCGGTGAACTCTGGTTCACAGAAGCATCTGAATCTGATGCTTTTCCCACTCTTTTATTAGTTTTTGATTCTTGAATTTGTCCTCGATCTGTTTAAAATATCTTGGTGCGAACATCCATTTCATGAAGGGGACATATCAAAATGATAAAAACATGGCCGTGTCTTGCCCTACCTTGTGTAACCTAAGCTCTTTTGAGGAATGATGCCTGTACTAACCCTCCTACCCACCTTTAAAATCGAACTTCCACCCCTGGTGTGGTCATTCAGCGAGTTATCCAGCAGGGCGACTGGACCTATGCTCTGTATTCGGAGCCAACTCCCACATTCAGAGATGCTGCTTTGAAAAGCAAACTCCTGTGCAGCTACAGAACCGACCCATTTTCAATCATGTTTTGGGGGGAGGGGGTGTATGTGTGCACCAAGATTTTTGAGGGTTTGATGATTTCTGTCTAAACTTTGTACAGTAAGTTATTACTCTGACTTTGATTCGGCACAGCGGCTGCTGAAATAATTGGCAAACCGGAAGAGACATGTCTCAAACTGGTTTCAGTGACTTTTTTTCCCCGGTTTGTTCTGCCTGTGAACTCCAGCATTTGAAATTTGTTGGGTGTCTTTAAGTTAGCTTTGCTTTGACAGAAAACTCTGGCTAATCTTTATTCTGTCAGGTTATTGACTTTTTTTGTAGAAACATTGGTTAAAAAAGGTATGTGTTCATTTTGTAATTATTTCTATTTATAATCCTGCATTTGAGATTTGTTTTAAAGTTGTTTGATATTTGGAACATTTGTTTTTGGCATAAATAGGCAGATAATGAAAGACGGGGGTTAATTTGAGAACGACTTGTGTTCGTTCTGTTTTTATAGATACGGTATACACACAAACAAAGTGAGTTTCGTGTATAATTATTTCAGTTTCCATGTTTCTAGACAGTTAGACCAGATCACGAAGCTCCTTGTAAAGTTCAAATGGTCACAATTATTGAACAACCTGAAGTTACCAGTATGGATGGATCTGCCTGGATCTGAATCTGTCCATTCAGGAAGCACAAGTGAATCAGTTTCAGCTGCTTTGGTGCAAATCAAAGTGACAATGTAGAGGCAAAAGCATGTGGTGTCCACAGAGAGTTGCTCTCTCCTTATCCTTCCTGTCCGATTCGTCGCAAGTTTTATGTTCTGCTGGTGTTAGGCAGCATGAGGCGGTACCTGCAACCCAATCATGATAACGCACAGTACAGCATGACCCAGATGTGCCAATCACCAGCACCCTTCTGTAATGTCTGTAATGACAAGATAAGACACAACTGGGGGACGAATGGACCAGGAGTGCTAAAGTGCTGACTCATTTCTAGGTTTTAGGATTCTATGGAAACCTGTCAGCCATTTAATGTCAGGGTTTGAAGTTTTGCTCCCCTGTTTCCCCCTCCCTTGTGTTCCTGTCTGTCTTGTCCGTGTCTGCTGGCTGGGCATGGTTGACCCACATGCAGATTTCCCACTTTTCAACCTACTCACCTGCAGCTCATCTCCTGGTCAATTCCTCCACCTGTTTATAAGCCCAGTCTGATCAGCCACTCGTCGCCAGTTTGTTCCCATCACGTCCATCTCTGCTTGAAACCTCTTTTGGACTATTTGCCTGCTTTGTTTTTGCCTGAAAACCTTTTGTCTCCCTGCCTGCCGTGCCCAGCCTGCTGACCTTTTTGCCTTTTTGTTTTGCCAGCTCATGCCACAATGCTCAGTTTTTCCCTGCACCTTTTTGTATGAAAAGAACTTTTCAGTTTTGAACTGCATCCCTTTCCACTGGCACTGTGAGGACCCTTAGAAAGAAAGAACTCGACACAAGAGTTCGTCATGCGTTAAGATCAAGAGATGACTTGAAAGCAATAAGGAAGATACTGGATCCCAACATATATACGTTGCCTTGTGCTATGTGCACACAGCCTGGAAGGTCCATTTCTTTGTAAGAACAATGCTTTATGAATACATTCATAAAAACAGTTTGAATTGGAAAGTGTCTATAGCCTTTATATAGCCATAATTGGTTAATGTTTTATAAAAGCAATGGCTCAGTCCAGCCGCGATACATTGTGCTTTTAACAGTTAAGGGGACGCAAAGCCAGTGACCCTTAGCTGCAATAAAATCACAACCACTGCCTGTCATGAGCTATTGCTTAATAATAAAATAGCCGTGTACAGTAGGCATTTAAAAATATTCC